TGCGATCTGCACTCTGAAGTCCCAATCTGAATCAAATGATTCGCGATTTATGCTCCAAAGTTTCGATCTGGAATTCTGGATCAAAAGATATGTGAACCCACTCCGAAGTTCACAACTAAATTAAATAATTTGTGATACACGCTCCGAAGTTCCGATCTAAATCAAATGATTTGCGATATGCGCTCCGAAGTTTCTATCTAAATCAATGATTCGTGATCCATGCTCCGAAGTACCGATGTGAATAATGATTCATGAAGCCACTCCGAAGTATCTAAATTAAATGATTCGTGATCTGCGCTACGAAGTCCCAATCTGAGTCACGAACCCGCTCTGAAGTTCGGATCTAAAATCAAATGATTTGTGATATGCGCTTTGAAGTCTTAATCTGAAACAATGAATCATTTCGCGACAATGATTTAACTGATTCAGAGTTTCGAAAAGCTCCGTTTCAGGGACAAATTTTATTTGCATATTTTCTGTTCTAATGACCGAACAAGACCAGAGGGTTAACATTTGATCTAGATTGGAACTTCGGAGCGGGTTCGCAAATCATTTGATTCAGATCGGGATTCCGGAGCTCGTATCGCAAATCAGTTGATTCAGATCGGGATTCCGGAGCTCGTATCGCAAATCATTTGATTCAGATCGGGATTCCGGAGCACGTATCGCAAATCATTTGATTCAGATCGGGACTTCGAAGCACGTATATGGCAAATCTTTTTTTCTGATTCTTGCTTTCTTTTTTTCTTAAACAGTACAGAACATCAAAACATTGACACAGTACAGTTATAAAAGCAAATCAAAGAAAAAATAAATTACAGAAAAGTATACACATACAAATCCCTTAATAAAATGAATCATTTTATTATCGTAAAAGTGTAGTGTTTTTTGGCATATTGTACCATGTATTTCTATAACCACAGTTTGGTTAAACTATAGTTAATGTAGCAAAACTGTGGTTAATTTGTGGTTGCCATGGTTTAACTAGTAAGGTGTGAAACTATGAGAATATTATAATATATATTTTTAGTCAGAGACTACTTGTGACATCAGCGTATGTTAACCCTGGGTAAGTTGTGAGCAGTGTGTAAAGTGAAACAAGATAACCCAGGATTCTGTTTAGTCGAGCTTTAGAATGACCCAGGCTTAAAATTTTCAAGTGTAAAAAGCCCTAAAAAGAATGTTTTCAAATACTCAAAGAACGTTCCGGCAAGGTTCTCTCAAAGTTATGAACAAACATTCTTCCAGTAATGTTAATAGAACGTTCCTTCAAAGTGATCTGGTCTTTACTAATGTTCTGAAAACATTAGCACAAAAATTATTTATATACAACATTCGTGGAATGTATTATTTCTGGAACATTTTAGTTGGACGTTCATCTAAATGTTACTGTTTGTTTCAGATCATTTAGAGAATATTCAAAAGTAAACCATAATGTTTGGAAAATTATCAAATGGAATGCTCCAATTTTTGAATGTTCAGAGATTTTGTTAGCTTGGTTCTCATTAAAACATTCAAAAAATTGCTTCATATGTTTTCAAATACTCAAAGAACGTTCCGGCAAGGTTCTCTCAAAGTTATGAACAAACATTCTTCCAGTAATGTTAATAGAACGTTCCTTCAAAGTGATCTGGTCTTTACTAATGTTCTGAAAACATTAGCACAAAAATTATTTATATACAACATTCGGGGAATGTATTATTTCTGGAACATTTTAGTTGGACGTTCATCTAAATGTTACTGTTTGTTTCAGATCATTTAGAGAATATTCAAAAGTAAACCATAATGTTTGGAAAATTATCAAATGGAATTATCAAATTTTTGAATGTTCAGAGATTTTGTTAGCTTGGTTTTCATTAAAACATTCAAAAAATTGCTTCATTTTTTTTTTTACTTTATTGGCTTAACTCATTTTAAAAGAACATGTTTCAGTCGAGTAGCTTGATCAAATGGTTGTAAAAATGAAGCACTTGAGTGAACTGGTGCAGCACTGAATACTGACTTCTGACACCAAACACTGAGTTTTTCTGTGTTGTAACATCCACTCAGACTGATCTATTCACAATACTGCGCTTTACGCCTGTACGGATGTGAGCAGTCTTTAACAATGACTTATTCTAATGCACAGCAGCCCTCTCAACCTCATTTGAATGAATATTTCATCACAATGAAGGTTTATTCTGCTGTATGCCGGGTCTCCTGCAGCCATTTCTCAAGGTTAGACAGAGTTATCACAGGGCCAAGCTGAAAAACAAGGATGTGCAGCTGAGAGGCAACAGTGAGCAATATCTCACAATAACAGCGCCAAGGAAAAATGCTGTTGACGAGGAGAAAACATAACCGAATTATGCTCTATGCATTATAATCAAAGGTAGGGTTTAGACAGCAGATCTCACGCGTATCGAAACGTAACCGCAGACAGATTTAATTTCTGCATTACAAAGAAACATTTGTTTACACTAAAAGGGCTAATTAGAGTGTTAAGATGCACTAATTATTTCATCAGCAGAGAACGGTATGGGCTAAATTATTTGTCTTGACCTCTTGTGTAAAACATGCCAGACTGTTTCATTAATTCATTTTCTGGCAATATTAATTATAACGAGGCCAATGAAATGAAGTGATTAGGATGGAATGCCCTTAAGTTAAGGCTCAGAAATGATTTATGCTGATTAATCTACTCTATTAACACATAATGCATTCTAATGTTCTAATGTACCTTGACATCTGATTATCCTTTCATAAATCCTTGTAGTTAAAACATTAGTTGCCATAGAAACATTATAATCAAAGGTAGGGTTTAGACAGCAGATCTCACGCGTATCGAAACGTAACCGCAGACAGATTTAATTTCTGCATTACAAAGAAACATTTGTTTACACTAAAAGGGCTAATTAGAGTGTTAAGATGCACTAATTATTTCATCAGCAGAGAACGGTATGGGCTAAATTATTTGTCTTGACCTCTCGTGTAAAACATGCCAGACTGTTTCATTAATTCATTATCTGGCAATATTAATTATAACGAGGCCAATGAAATGAAGTGATTAGGATGGAATGCCCTTAAGTTAAGGCTCAGAAATGATTTATGCTGATTAATCTACTCTATTAACACATAATGCATTCTAATGTTCTAATGTACCTTGACATCTGATTATCCTTTCATAAATCCTTGTAGTTAAAACATTAGTTGCCATAGAAACCTAACAGGTTTGTTTAAATGGAAATGTAACAATCTATTGAAAACTTTTCTATTTTGAAAAAAAAAATACACTCAAATGCTTGTTGGTGCGCCGGAGCCCTTTAAAGTGCAGCACAATAAAAGATGAATCTCAATGAGATGCAGTTCTTTGATCTCAACCCGGGTTATTCTGCATTCAGTAAATCCATCAGCTTGTGTCCAGCAATTTATTTTTCAATATGTCTTTCAACAGTGAGAATTGCAATTAACTGTCAGCACAGAGACAAATAACATTAAGATCAATGTTTAGCATTTGAAAAAAACAAAGACCATCAGATGAACCAGCACCAGAGTAAGTCAGACAATATTAAGAGAACAGACAATGTTAAGAGAAATCTCTGTGCCATCGCCATGGCAACATGCTTATCTTTCGTGAATAGGTTATGAAAGAAATGCAACGTGCAAAACTTCATTACCATCAAAGAAATAAATACTTAATTACTAGATGTCATTTTTTTGGATTGCATTTCAAAATGTGGGCTAAACATAGACGGCGATTCCTCCCAGTATCTCTCCCTGGGTTCCTGCTATCTGGACGTGTGGCTAAAGGAAATCTGGAAAGCACAGAGGATTCTCCTCGCTGCTCTTTTCCAGGTGCGCACAGACTGTGATACAGCTGCCGGTTCAAATGCAACACCTGCTAGAATGAGATGGCAATCTTACTCTCTCTCTTTGAAGCTGAGATAATGTAACGCTGTTCACTGTTTAATCTCTTTCAAAGGCAGGATTCTGAGCTTTAGCCCAAACGTCACACTGCCCTGCTGAGTTTTTTACCCTTACATCCACACAAATCCCCATTACTCGCTTTGAACCACATCGGGTGAGTAAAATCCCACATTAAATGGCAGTTTAATTTTGTGATTCTCACTGATTCTCACTAATTTCTCACTGATACCACATGATATTTTTTGTTAATGTTTAATTAGATTATATTTTTACATTTTTGGTTTTAACTTAATGTGAAAGTTTTAGTCGTTTTATTATGTACTCATGTCATTTTTATTATTTAAAAAACAATATAGTTTTTATTCATTTTTAATTAGTGGTTTTAGTTTATTTAGCTTCAGATATTTTTGTATTTCAAGTTCAACTAAACAAAAATGAGAAATGTTCCCTATAGCAAAAATAAAAAAAGTTTAAGTAATAAAGTAATTACCCTAGTAATAGTAACATAATATTTAATATTATAAAAAATGTTATTTTAATAATTACTAACACAAGAGTTTAAAGAATATATATATATATATAAACTCTTATGTTAGTAATTATTAAAATAAGTTATAAGATTAAATATTATGCTGGTATGCCAAAAATTCCAAATATGAAAAAAAGTCAATATGTCAATAAGATAACACCATTTCTCATCAAATTCTTGTCACAGTTATTTCTGTATTTATTTCTGAGACAAGTTTGTTCTAATACACGTAGGCTGACAAAGTTGATAAATACAAGAAATACAATAAGCTTAATAAATAAGCTTTAATAAATCATTCTTTTTCATACGACCGAGCTGAACATTTTTATTTTTTCTTATTATACCGTATATAACGTTCAACACTGATACTCTTTACAGATTGAAAGATTGAAACAGATTTCAGAATGTGTGACCCTGCAAAGCTACAGTAGTGATGCCAGTTGAGCAGCATAGACAGACAAAAAAGGACACTGACCTCTGCTGGTTAAAGCAGACAATGACACTAGAGTATCACGCTTAGTGTCACAAACATTGATTGCAGACTGATCATCTCTGATTGTGTTATTTAGGGGGTTAATGAGAGGTTGGCGACTGCTAGTACACTTAGTGGAGTGTTCTGGTTACAGTCATCCCTCCCAAACCACATGAAACACTCCTCAGCCTGAGCCGTAGCGTTCATTTCAGACCTTGCTGAGTGATCTCTGGGGAAGCGTCTTCTGAGTGTGTCTTCTCTGCCTTCTGTTTCCTGTTTAGGCAGGAAGTCTGTTCGATAAGCTGAGTGGTCCCACTTTGCTGTGCTAAGCGGTCTCAAGGCTTCATCATAATGGCACAGGTAGAAATGAGAGTTATGCTGGCGACGCTCATCAAAACATTTCTTACGGCCAAAACCCTGAACACATACACAGGGAAATGGGTATAAAGATTTAAGATATAATAAATAGAATCACTGTTTATCATAATGATGAGCTCACCTGATCATACACGTCAACAGAGTGCTGCAGGGCTGTGCGGTTATCATGCGCTGACAGTGGATATTCTCTGCCCATTGTTTTCTGCCATAGAAAGCCTCAACATGAGAATGTTTCTTCATACAAGGATACAGTGCACTCTAAAAATTGCTGGGTTAAATATAACCCAGCGCTGGGTTAAAAAGGGACAAACCCAGCTATTGGGTTGTTTTGACCCAGAGGTTGGGTTGTTTTGTCCCAGCTTTTGGGTTGTTTTGACCCAGCAGTTGGGTTGTTTTGACCCAGCGGTTGGGTTGTTTTGACCCAGCTATTGGGTTGTTTTGACCCAGAGGTTGGGTTGTTTTGTCCCAGCTTTTGGGTTGTTTTGACCCAGCAGTTGGGTTGTTTTGACCCAGCGGTTGGGTTGTTTTGACCCAGCTATTGGGTTGTTTTGACCCAGAGGTTGGGTTGTTTTGTCCCAGCTTTTGGGTTGTTTTGACCCAGCAGTTGGGTTGTTTTGACCCAGCGGTTGGGTTGTTTTGACCCAGCTATTGGGTTGTTTTGACCCAGAGGTTGGGTTGTTTTGTCCCAGCTTTTGGGTTGTTTTGACCCAGCAGTTGGGTTGTTTTGACCCAGCGGTTGGGTTGTTTTGACCCAGCTATTGGGTTGTTTTGAACCCAATCGCTGGGTCAAAACAACCCAATAGCTGGGTTTGTCCCTTTTTAACCCAGCGCTGGGTTATATTTAATATTAATATTTTAAACATTTTTTAGAGTGTGCAGTTAAAAAAATCCTTTCCTCCAGACATTTGCTATCTGTAACCAGTGCTCGATGAAATTCTTTTTTGTAGTCAATCTAATTGTAGTTCATTACTGAATAAAAATTACATAACGAAAATTGTAGTTAGTGATGAAATCAATTACATTACACATTTTAGGTACACTCTAAAACATGCTGGGTAAAATACAACCCAGTGCTGGGTAAAATAGGGACAAACCCAGCAATTGGGCTGTTTTTTAAATGTATAACCCAACCTTCTGGGTAGTAACCTAACCGCGGGGCCAAAACAACCCAATTGCTGGGTTTGTCCCTATTTTACCCAGCACTGGGTTGTGTTTAACCCAGCATTTTTTAGAGTGTAATATAATCTGACTTTTTGATTACTCATATTACATTACATGATAGTTTTCCAAACTGGGGTTTGTGAATACAGGGGTTCCAATAATTGAAAAAAATAAATAAATAATAATAATAATTAAATATTAAAATTGTTACATTAAAAGATATAAATAATTGTCAAATATTTTAACATAATAATAATTAAATATTTAATAATATTTTAAAAACAATGTATAAAATTTAAATATGATTATGTTTACACTTAAAATAATTATTAATAAAAATATATTAATAAAAATTGACATGTATTATTTGTTTATGCTGTGTGTTCTCTCAATTTTCCGTGTAATTATAGCTATCAGCTATAATTATAGTAGCTATTTCAAACATAGTTTTATTATTATTATTATTATTATTAACTTACTGCCATGACATAATCATGCAATAAATAAAAAAGTAACTGTAATCTGATTGAGTATTTTAAAATAATTTTAATAACCTAATATTACATTTTTTTATATTTAATTTGTGAAATTTGATTACGTAATCCAGGTGACATAATCAGCTACTATCTAGCACTGGCTGTAGTTTGCAGTACTTTGTAGTTGTAGTAATAATCTGAATATGAAATACATGTAAATTATTACAGTGCAAAATATCACTTTATTTGAATAGCAATAGCTAACCTTTTCAGGATTGATGAATATTTTGGGATATCTCTCCTCTGCTTGTGTCAGGGCTTGAGGAACTCCATGTGCCAGCATTGAACCTGTGCTGGTACACAGATCACCTGTTTGTCCAGTCTGCGACACAACAGTGTGAATAAGCTGGAGAAGACAGGCAGGCACATTGATAAATCAATCAATCAATTAGAAAAAGACAGAAAGAAAGAACTAGGCGAGAGCAGTGTAAGCTTTCATAGGAAAGGCTAGTTGAAGAAGTGGTTATCTTACCCAGTTTCCACTCTTGTTCTTCTTATTAAAGTATCTCTTGCCTCCATTACTCATTGTCACTGCATGCATTTAAAATAAACACATAACTAAATGTACTACTAACTAAAGCAGGTGAACTCAGCTGACCGAGAGCAAATAGTGATTGTGTAACCATGGCAACAGAACGCGTACGATATTCATAAAGAACCGAGCACTGAAAAACAAACACAATAAATATATGCACTTTGAACACGCAATACCTGTATGTGGATATAACCTACTGAAGTTTAAAATAATATTATAATATGATAACAAACGTTTATAATAATATATAAAGTGGTGTATTATTTATTTATATATATAGTAATAACTATACACTTTTTTGGTGTTATGTTAGAATCATTATTATACTCGTATACCCTTTGTTCTTTAATATTTTGAATTGTTTTTAGCTTTATTTTTTTGGTTTTTCATTTATATGTTAAGTTTTGAAATTTTGTTGGATGCATTTGTCTTTTTTTTTTAATCTCTTTATTTTTTAAAAATGTGTATAGGTAGTATTTATAAAGTTTTAGCTTGGATCTGTTTTTAGTTGTTTTAATACTACAGTTGATTGCTTCTATTGTCCTCATTTGTAAGTCGCTTTGGATAAAAGCGTCTAATAAATGACTAAATAAATAAATAAACTAGCATGTGCATATATAGCAAAGCTAGCATGTGTGTGTATATATATATATATAGTAATATAATCCTTTAAATAATCACATTCAATACACACAAATGTCGTTAATTATTATAATAATCTAAAATATAACGTAAAATAACATGTAAATACAAAATCTAACGTAATTATTTTAGTTTAAAATACCGTAAATGCGTTTTTACGGTAAATTATTTATATAACTACGATTTAAAAAATCGAATATATACAAATAAACCGATATTTATGAGTATTTAGTACATTATGTAACCTATATATATATAACACATTCATACTGATGTATTTAAAATTGTATGTAGCATTTTAGTCAAAAACACTGTGACTTTTAATGCATTTCTACATTTGTCCACTCCTTTCTAGAAAGCGGCGTCGCTGACGTCACGTGTACTTCCGGGTGAGAGATACAGGAAGTTTGTGCTCAGTGAGAAGCTGCCAGGTGACAGACGTAGAGCTTCCTCAGAGAACTGCGTTTATTTTTTATTATTTTTAGTCATCTGAGAGTGACAGGTTTCCGCATGTCACTCACATATCGATGTTTAAGATAAAACAGCGAGAAATGTAATGAAAAAAGCAACATAGTCTGCTGTGTGACTCAATAGTAGTAGTTAGTTTAGCAGATTTATGATCAGTTTCAGCGTATGAGTGAAAGAAGCAGCGATTGTATGTTTTGAACGTTACCTTCGTGTAATTCGTCGTTTTGTGGAGGTTCTGGATGGATGTGTGTGGTGAATATGAGCTCTCAGGATAAGAAGACAGACTCAGATCCCAGACATGAGGAGGATCAGAGCAGCCCTGCATCTGAAGACAACAAACAGGTCTGATAGTTTGTGTCCAGAGTCACTGCAGCCCTGTAACACAATAATGTAACACTGTAAGAGACTGTCATTACAGTAAGATGATGCCCAGCACATACTGCAGCATTTAACACTGCCCTGTTGCACTGATCATGTGTTGCTTTGCATTTCTGGAAATGTGGATGGAATGTCAGAAAATCATAAGTTCAGAGATGTTCAGTCCCATTGAGATGAATGTTGTATGTGAAACATTTGTGATTTTAGGTTATTTGTCTGGGCAACAATGAAGTGAAGAGTCGTGCGGTAGTGAAGTACTCGGCCGCTCCGCCGCCCTCCTCCTATGCATTACTACAGGAGAAGACCGACCTCAAGCTGCCCCCAGCAAACTGGCTGCGGGAAAATGCTCAGCTGGGCACTGCGGGGACCACCGTACTCGGATCCAGCAGGAAAAGCAAACCCTTCACCAGGTATCACTATTATTTGACATGTATGTATTTATGTATTCGGCAGTGACTTGCGTTCCATTTCCGTTGCATTCCCTGGAAATCAAACCCATGACCTTGGCATTGCGAGCGTCATGCTCTGCTGTTTGAGCTGCAGGAAAGCTCATGTTACATTTAAAGGGGTCATATGATGCGATTTCAAGTTTTCCTTTCTCTTTGGAGTGTTACAAGCTGATTGTGCATAGATAAGATCCCTGAAGTTGCAAAGACTAAAGTCTCAAAACCAAAGAGATATTCTTTATCAAAGTTAAGGCTCTGCCACGCCCCCCTAAAACGGCTCGTTCTAACACGCCCCCACATATCTACCTCACTATGTGGGAATATTTGCATAATGCCGCCCAAATGTTCACGCAAAGAAAGAAGGCGTGGTTTCAGTAACCGCAGTTAGTGTTGAAGCAGCATGTCAGAGAGACGCTGTGTGTTTCTAGGCGAAAGCAAAAGCACTTTATTTGGCCTTCCGGAAGTAGATGCATTTAGGAATCTTTAAGATCACTTACAACAGAACAGCAATGTATTTTATGGACGACTGTTTCGTGAACCTAGGAGAGGAGGTCATTCTGACTTTGCTATGACAATCTGGCACTTCTGAATCAGCTTTCTGAAGTATTTGCTATTGACAGTTCAAATGCGGAGTTTTGCACATCTTGTGTGTGTGTGTGTGTGTGTGTGTGTGTGTGTGCGCGCGCGCACGCGAGAGAGAGAGAGCGAGAGAGAGAGCGGGGGTCACATCACAGTGGAGTCAGCTGTCTTAACCGTGGCTTGTGTACTGCAAACACATACCAGCTTCATCACTGTGTCTGTCACGCGACTCTGTTCCCCTTTTGGGCTCTGTCTTTACATTTATTTTGAAAGCTGAAGCTCGCGATTATGGTAAGGGGCGTTACATTTCCGACGAGTGCTTGTGGTGTTCGGCCAATCACAATGCACTGGGTCAGCTGGCCAATCAGAGCAGACTGCGCTTGTCAGAAGGAGGGACTTTGTAGAAAACTAAGCGTTTGAGAGAGGCGGGGCATAGAGGACCTACAATAATGTACAGTATTTGAAAAATAATGTGTTTTTTGAACATTAAAGCATGTCAACATATTCTGTTACACCAAATACACAAAATAATGATCTTTAAAAAAGCATCATATGACCCCTTTAATGTGAGCTTTTCTGTATTGCATTTCAAATGTATTCCATTTTACGTTACATTTAAAGGGATAGTTTACCCAAAAATGAAGATTCTGTCATTAATTACTCGCCCTCATGTCGTTCCAAACCTGTAACACCTCTGGGATTTCATCTTCGGAACACAAATTAAGATATTTTTTTGATGAAATCCGAAAGCTTTCTGATCCTCTATAGACAGCAATGCAACAGACACATTCAAGGCCCAGAAAGGTAGTGAGGATATCTTAGTTTAAAATAGTCTTTGCGAACAAAAAATATTCTCGTAGCTTCATAAACGTATGGTTGAGCCATTAATGTCACATGGACTATTTCAATGATGTTCTTACTATCTTTCTGGGCTTTGAACGTGTCAGTTGCATTGCTGTCTATGCAGGGTCAGAAAGCTCTCGGATTTCATCAAAAATATCTTAATTTGTGTTCTTACGGGTTTGGAACGACACAAGGGTGAGTAATTAATTAATTAAAAACAGAATTTTAATTTTTGGGTGAACTATCCCTTTAATTTAAATGTGTATGTATATATTTAGATGGCAGTGAAGCTGATCTTTCCATGCATTCTTGTGTTTTCTTTGTTAACTGCAGTTTTGGGATGGCGTACGACTTCATTGACTGTATAGGTGATGATGTTGATGTTGTGTCTGATTCAGAGGTGAGTCTGTTGTATTGAGAATACAATATCTTCTTTATATGACACAATAAATGATTAAATTAAAATGGCTTTCTTGAATATTTGATTCTGATTGGTTGATCACAGCGCTCTGCTGTCATATTTTTGTATAATGATATTAGAGAATATAATTGAACATTATGCAGATAAACAGTTTTTTGTGAAATTATTAATGCTTTTATTCAGCAAGGATGTATTAAATTGTTCAAAAGTGACAGTAAAGATATGAATAAAGTTACAAAATTTTTTTTTTAAACTTTGTATTTATCAAAGAATCCCAAAAAATGGATCCGTTTCCATAAAAATATGAAGCGCAGCTGTTTTCAACATTGATAATAGTAAGATATGTTTCTTGCGCAGCAAACCAGCATATTAGAATGATTTCTGAAGGATCATGTGACCCTGAAGACTGGAGTAATGATGCTGAAAATTCAGCTTTGCATCACGGGAATAAATTACATTTTAAATTATATTCAAATAGAAAACCGATATATTAAGTTGCAATAATATTTTACAATATTACGTTTCTTACTGTATTTTTGATCAAATAAATGCAGCCTTGCTAAGAGACCTTAACATTTGGTTTATTTATGACTTTTTTTCTTTTTTAAACAGAATATCAAGAAGTTGTTGAAAATCCCCTACAGTAAGTCTCATGTCAGCATGGCTGTTCACAGAGTGGGCAGCACGCTACTGCTAGATGAATTGGACATTCAGGAACTATTCATGAGGTCATCACAGGTAACAGGAAATAGTCACTTTATTTCTCTTAGCTGTATTGTATTTTGTTATGGAGCCTCTAAATGCATCTCCATTTAGCCTTCTAGTGTCTATTCCTCAAACCTGGAAACCAAATACTGAATTATATAGCAGGAAAACATTTATTTCTGCTGTTCAAATGATGTAGGATGTATTTTATGTATGAAGTGAGTGTTTATGCCATCATAAGATTAACCTAACATTGCAAATGCCCTGTAGACTGGTGACTGGACGTGGCTGAAGGAGTTTTACCAGCGTCTGATTGACCAAAAGTGGCAAAGAAAGAAGAAAAGTAAAGAACAGTGGAATGAGAAGGCCATCCTCTCGAAGTTTCTCTATTACAGGTGAGAACTGACTTTACACGATCTCATGACAGCACTGATTTCATCACTTCCATTCACAATGCTCTCCTGTGTTTCAGTATTAACAGTGATGGGACTGCAGTGCCTGTACCGTCAGATACAGAGCAGGCGGCAGAAGAGGGTTGTGGGACGGCGGCTGAAGGACCGTCTTGGCCTGCCACCTACAACAGTTCCACCACTGAATCCGAGGGGTCTGCGATACCCAAGGAGGTGCGGTCAGCTTTTCTCATGTCATGTGCTCTCAGGGAATCTGAGGCTGAATCATTCTATTCACTGTCTTTCAGGAGCAGGTGGACACATACACTTTAGGTCACGTGTCTTCGGTTTCCAAAGAGCAAAATCTGCCCACATTGTTCAATGAAGGAGAAAATAGTCAGGTAATAACGTTTCTTTAACATTCCGTAACTTCCAAAGACATATCTTGACCTGCATCTAAACATTTTGCCTTTACAACATTTTTTTAATATTTTTATGTAAACTTATGTATTTATTTTTATGAATATTTGTATTTTGACTTGCTAGTTTTCTTGATCTCTCTCACAGTCTCAGGATTTGAGAAATGACTTTGTCCGGAATATTCTATGGACATTTGAGGACATCCACATGCTTGTGGGATCAAATATGCCCATATTTGGAGGTGGTCGATACCCAGCAGTCAGTCTACGACTCAGGTTAGAGTTCTACATTTATTTAATTAATTAATGTATTTATTTATTTTGTGCCATTTCAGGATATATTTATCTGCTTTTGAATTATTTCCAAATTTATTACATTTGAAGGCTAAACTCTCTATACTAATGTTCAAAAGTTTGGGGTCAGTAAGATTTAAAAAAGTAATATTTTATTCAACAAGAATGCATTAAATTGATAGAAAGTGGCAAATATATTCAGAATATATATATATATATATATATTTAAAAAAATCCATTTCAAATTAATGCTGCTCTTTTGAGCTTTATATCCATCAAAGAATCCACAAAATATTAAGTAGCACAACTGTGTTCAACTTTGATAATAATAGTTTCTTGAGCATCGATTGAGCTTTGCTGTCACAGGAATAAATTACAATTGAAAGTATATTACAATAGAAAAAGGTTATTTTAAATAGTAGCAATATTTTACAATATTGCCGTTTTTACTGCATTTTTGATTAAATAGATGCAGACGTGTTGAGCATAGGAGATCACTTTCAGAATTATTTTTTTAATATTCTAGTACTTAGTATGTCCTCCAGAACTTAAAGTACACTGCTCTGACACTTCTTGGCACCGAGTGTACAAGTTCATGATCAATTTTCACATCTGTGCTCTTTAACTCCTGGAGGACGACCTCCTTAAATGCTCTGATCTTTAATAGGGAGTTTTGCTTAGCTCGTCTCTACAGAATCCCCCACAGCAGCTCAAGAGTGTTAAAATCGAGTGAAATACATGTCCACTGAAGGATTTTCACCTTGGGAGAATGAATATATTCATTGTCATGCTGAAAAAATGCCCAACAATGCAGGGAATGAGGGGAGGGTAGCATCTTCAGTTTCAAGTTTTTGTATTACATCACACAGTAGTGTGTGAATTCATGACAGCGTTGATAAAGCAGAACTCCCTCACACCTTCAGCACTCATTCATCCCTATATAAAAGCTTTACTACCACTGAACGTCACTGCGGGTACCAGGCACTTCTCGCTGTACTCCTCCTCTAGCAACACCAGAACATTTTGGATGCTGTTAGATCCGAAATGATTGACTTGGTCTCTTGAGACCAGAGTATGGATTCCCAGAAGTCTCTATTTTGTAAATATGGGCTCTGGAAGAGGTTAAATTAGTTTATTGTGCTTTGGCTACAGTGGGTAATTCTAGTGGTGACAACAACCATGCATGTCACTTCTGCATGCTGCATCATACTCTGTGAGATAAAGTGTCACTCTTTTCATAGCTTTTGCCGGCTCTGAGACACTTGCATGTTATTTCTCCTGCTCTTTTTCTAGCAAAAATTCACTCATCACTAAATGAAAACTTAAAGTGAAGACCTGATTATTTTAGGAGCCTTATCACAAGTCCATTGTTTTTGATTGTTGGTGCTACTTCTGCTATATTTTCACACTTAAAAGAATACTTTTGGTATTCCTATTGTACCATTGTTCTCTTTTATGCTAAGAAATAAGTCACCTGGCAGTTCTCTCTCAAGTGGTTCCACTGCTGCCAGCATTAAGTCTTGAGTATGATTCAGTGGGCTATATAACACTTTTAATTGTCAGGAAATTACTTGTCTTTAAAAGTTTTGGTTCAATATACTTACCTGTTGATCAAAAATAGCCTTAAACCTATACACTTTTTTTTAGTGACTTTCAGGAGGGTGTACTCATTTTTGCAACACAAAATTGTATCACTTTGATAAGAAAATCTTATTTTGCTGAATCATTTTGGCATTCTTCTTTGGTAATTGATCAAGCAGGCTTGTTGGAACATTACATCTCCAAAGAACCCTAACATGTCTTCTAAGTAAAGAGTAATTGCTGAATTTGTTAAGTTTAGAGGGGTGTACTCATTTATGCTGTGCACTGTATATCTAACCCTTTAAGTATTTTATATATTTATTTTAAATACTTCACTTTGTCTTAACAGGGACAACAACAAACCAATCAACGTTCTCACAGGAATTGATTACTGGCTGGATAATTTGATGTGTAATGTACCGGAGCTGGTCATGTGCTTTCACGTCAATGGCATTGTGCAGGTAAGATGATTTAGTGATTATTATATAGGTTTGCACATATTGATGTACAACAATATTCAATTTCCTAACAACTCTCATCTCATTTACAGAAATATGAAATGATAAAGACAGAGGACATCCCGGATTTGGAGAACTCTATGTTCTCGACGCGGGTTGTCAAAGACATTGCACAGAATATCCTGTCATTCCTGAAATCCAGCTGTACCAAAGAAGGACACACGTACTGGCTCTTCAAAGGTGGGCGGCTGACGTTCTTTAGTTTGCTTTCAAACTTCTTCAGCTAAAGTGACTTCTTTAATCACTAATGGCTTTCTGTTTTGTCCATTCAGCTAGTGGAAGTGACATCGTGAAGCTGTATGACCTCACTACTCTGTGTGAAGAGGCGGCGGAGGAGAAATGCCAGAATCCCTTCACACTTCCTGTAGCGGTGCTTCTCTACAAGTATGATTTACATTCATAACTACCATTCTCAAATTCTGTTCCATAAGTTTCTCAGTAAGCATCAGAGACAAATCTTGATGCTTTGCATGACAGAGTGGCCAGCAACATGATGCTAAAGAAGAGCCAAAACAGGAAGAACTATGGGACCATCAGAACTCTGTTGCTCAACTGTATTAAACTGCTGGATGAGGAGCGACATCCACAGGTATGTAGCTTCATTACATTATTTTCCTGAGCTGATGCATGATTTCTGACTGTTTTCTTCTGTTTGTTGGTGTAGATCATCGCTTCGGCTCACTACATGCTGGCAGAACTGTTTCAGCTGGATGACGTGAGTGAGGACGAGGGGAACGGGGAGTCACTGAGGGGCGGGGGATCTGAAGACAGCTACAGTGATGAAGAGGAGGAGGAGGAAGAGGAGGAGGAGGAAGACGAGAGCTGCTCCTACAGCACGTCCTCTGAGCCGCAGGACGACTCCAAAGCGGTGGCCGTCATCAAGTCTGTCGGGGAGCTGTCGGTTCCAGAGAAATATAAGAGCACACATCAGATCAGAGTAGGAGATCAATCTGAAGACTGGGTTTCTTTTTTGTTTGTACACAGATATTATTGAATATAAGCTATTTGATGTATAGTAGAAGTTAAAACGGTCTATTTAGATGTTTGTAAATGTACTGTTTTTCACCTTGCATGAATTTGCATAATGATTTTGCATCATTATGTTACCAATGTATCATGTTATTATTAGCATTATGTTGCCTTCCAGCCCAACTGTACATTTCCCGTGTCACAAGACAAGGAGGAGAAGTGCCGACTGGTTCTCAGCTACGTTCTGAAGGTAAGAGAATGAGATTAATATTTCTTTTCATATTTTTGTTCATGTGCATGCATTTTCTTTTTTCTTAGTTCTCTGGACTTCATCAATCCAACCATCTATCCATCCATCTATCCATCTATCTATCTGTCCATCCTTCGTTCGATCTTATCCATCCATCTATTTTTCTATCCATCCACTAGTCTAGTCCATCTGTTTTTTTCATCCATCCATTTATCATTCTATATTCTATCTAAATCATCCATTCATCCTTCCATCCATCCATCTTGTCCCGTCTGTCTATCCTGACTGTCCATCCATCAATCTGTCCATTGGTCTGTCTTATCCATTCATCCGTCCATCTATCTATCCATCTTGTCCGTCCATCCATCCATCCATCCATCTTGTCCGTCCATCTATCCATCCATCCATCCATCCATCTGTCCGTCCATCCATCCATCCGACCATCCATCCCTACATTGTTCCATCTTGTCCATCCGTCCATCCATCCATCCATCCATCCATCCATCCATCCATCCATCCGACCATCCATCCCTATATTGTTCCATCTTGTCCATCCGTCCGTCCATCCATCCATCCATCCATCCGTCCATCTTGTCCATCCTGTCCATCCCTACATTGTTCTATCTTGTCCATCCATCCATCCATCCATCCATCCAAAAAACACTAATGCAAAACCTCATCTGTGTGTTTAGGGTTTAAAAGCCGTGGACAACAGCATAAAGAAAGAGAGTGACCTTCCTGCGGCCGACCCCAGCACACCTATCCCTCTAAAATACGAGGAGCGGAGTCAGAAAGGAGCTAGAGACGTGGAGAAAGAGATCGCTCTGCTGCTGGACAGAGGTCAGTCACCTCATCCATTCACTTCCTCAGAAACTGTTTCTTCTTCCACTATTTGATTATGTACAGTGTTCATCTTCATCTTGGGTCACACAGTTGGGCCGTGTAACGAGGAGCTGAAGGTGATGACACGCTCTGGTATGTTACCGGGCACATGGCAGCACCGCATGAAACTGCAGCTGTTCCTGAAAGCGTCGAAAGCGTACTTCGTCCTGTCAGATGCTGCAACCAACCTGCTGAAGTACGGACGGGCCCTGCGCTATATCAAACTGGCTCTGCAGTGCCACGGTAAGAACAAGCAGCTTTCAGTGTTGTCAAAAAACCTCAGGACATATATTGTCATTCAAAATGTTTCTTGAGCAGCAAATCAGCTTATTAGAATGATTTCTGAAGGATCATGTGATACTGAAGATTGGAGTAATGATGCTGAAAATTCAGCTTTGCATCACAGGA